TGCTAAATACAAGTAGGACACATAATTCGGGACCGGAGGGAGTATATAATTTAACTCCAACCGTGCAATGTGTAAAATGTATATAAACGCAAATGAAATATGAAATATTTAATTTCATGATTCAAAAATAAAAACCTGTCTATTAAAAAAAAATATCAAATTACTAAGCCAATAACAACACAAAGAACATAACCAGCCTAACATCCAAGTCCAACCCAACTATAATGCATTACTTGAGCAAGTTGGGAAATTGCATTACTTTTATGGCCCGTTTGGTTCACGGAATAGGTCGGGAATGACATAACATTCTCAGTAATAGGTCTATTCTTTTGTTTGGTAACTATTTCTATTACCAGGAATAATATTCCTGGTAATAGCCTATTACCTCAAATAAGGTAATAGTTATTACTAGGGTCCCTCTGGTATTAGCCTATTACTGAACGCTCAGGAATAGATTTTAGAATCTATTTTCTTTTTTACCACTTTCTTTAACTTAATTTTTTTTTATCCTATATATAAATTTATCCTATTTCACCACTGTTGTCGCCACCACCACCATCACCGCCGCCGTCGCCACCACCACCATCGCCGCCGCCGCCACCACCACCATCGCCACAACCGTCGTCGCCCCCACCACCACCGTCGCCCCCACCACTGCCACCGCCACCGCCACCACCACTACCACCCCAGCACCACCTCCACCACCGTCACTGTCGCCGCCGCTACCACCGCCACCGCCACTAGAACCATCAGAACCACCACCCAGCAGCACCACCGCCACCACCACCACTACCACCCCAGCACCACCACCATCACCACCACCATCTCCACCACCACCGCCACCACCACCACCACCATCGCCACCATCACATATTTTTATAAGGGTATTTATGTCTTTTAAAACATATTTCATTTCTATTCCTTAAATCAACCAAACACTGTAATATAATTCCTAAAGTCTATTCCTTCCGCGAACCAAATAATAGAATACAATTCTTATTCTATTCCTTGCCTATTCCATTCCTTATGGAATAACATTCCTATTACTTCAAAATTCATTCCGTGAACCAAACGTGCTGTTAATATATTTAATGCTTACATGGATGAGAGATAGAGTGGAGAGAGAAATTTGGAAAGCTTTGGCAAAGATTGGGAAAATGGTAGCATGGTGGGACCCAGCAAAAAGAGAACCACACGTGATAGTCAATCGTGGCTGTCACGAGTGCACCCAGCGGGCACATGCACTGCACGCGTCTGACTATCATTTATATATATATATTTTTTTTTATTTATTTTAAAATCAATTTAGTTTTGTTTTTTTTTTCTCCCCTCCCACATTCTCTTTCCTAATCACTCTTACATTCTCTCTATGTTTTCCCCAACTGATAATGTTGCTCTTTATGTAATATAATGTTTCAATGCAAAACGTGGGCGGCAAAGCCACATAGGGAACTGTAAACCAATATGAAAAACAACAATGGAACTGTAAACCAATGTGAAAAACAACAATTTTGAACTAATACATATATCCTCTTAAAATTTGAAGGAAGAAGTTATAGATGATGGATGATAGATGATGGATGATGGATGATGGATGATGGATAGTGGATGGGTGGACAGTGGATAGTGGATGATGGACGGTGGCTGGATAGATGGTGGCTGTTAATTTTTAGTATATCCAAATTATATCAACCACATAATTATCACGTGTGTGCGTAGCACACAAGTACCACATATGTGTGTATAGTATTATGAGCAAATACCAATTTTGGACCCACGAGTATTAGCAAAATGACAGTTTTAGTTCACATGTTTAATTCCTACCAATTTTCATCCACGACTATTGTTTTAGTGTTAATTTTAATCCATGACTATTATTTTAATATCAAAATTCATCACGTCAATCACCCATTTGTTTAAGTCATCCTGAAATTTAAAAATTTTAAGGGCATTTTCATCTTTTTCAACTTAAGATTCCAATTTGAGCATAAATAAATGAATTTAAACCCTAAGATCGATCCCAATTTGCAGTTCTCCTTCTCACCCTACCTTAATTTGAGGAGGAAAACTACGAATTGAAATAGATCTTAAGGCTTAAATTCTTTTATTCATGCTCAAATAGGAATCCTAATTTGAAAAGCACAAAACTACCCTTAATAATTTAAGTATTGTATGTCTAATTATTCACCTTCAACCATTGATGTTGGAATTGAATTTGATCAAACTTTTAAAGGAAGGTGGTTGGAGGGTTGTCACCGGAATTATAAATTTTGTTGCAGATGGGAGTAAAGAGAAAAAAAAAATAAATAAATAAAAACACAATCTAAAAAAAAAAAAAAAAAAAAAAAAAAAAACATCAGTTTAACGCGCTTAACAGGTACTATGGTTGCTCCGCACGTGAACAAATGCAAGCCATATTTATCATGGTGGGACACGGACTAACTTTTTTGAGTAAAAACTAAGATCATCTTTAGAGCATCCGCATCAGTTGGGGTTATTCGGGAGATAATGTAAGAGTCATTAGGAAAGAGAATGTGGGATGGGAGGAAAAAAAAAAAGGAAAAAAAAAACAAGAATAAAGTTGAATTTTATAAAAAAAAAAAAATAATAATAATAATTTAATGCGTCAGGCGCACTGTCAGCGCGCCTGACACGCCCGCCCGTGTGGCCTTTAGCTGTGCGCAAACGCGCTCAGCATTTGCTGCTTTTTATTTTTTATTCTTTTCCTTTTCTGATATTAATTGGGTTTTGCAGGAAAAATATTTTCTAAAATAACCCCACCCCACATTTGCTATTAACCCCACCCAAGTTAATAGATCTGACATTAACCCCTATTTCACCTTTGATGTGGATGCTCTTATCCGTTGGGGATATTAGGAGGAGAATGTAAGAGTGATTAGGAAAGAGAATGTGGGAAGGAATAAAAAAAAAATGTCATTGGCAGCGCGCCAGCTGGGCGCACTCGTTCTGTTCCAATCACGAGCAGCACGCATGTCTGAAACTTTTGGCCAGTGGGACTAACTTTTCTGCATTCTCCCTTCCTTTGCAGAAGTTCTCCAATTTTCTCTTTCATGCTTCTCTCTCCTCCAACAAAGCTTCATTTTTCTTAAAATTTGTACATTCTCCACTAGTGTGGATGCTCTAACTCCTCGAAAACCACACCAAAAACCATAGATAGATGGAGATGCCCTTGAAATGAATTTTATGCACTTCATATGTGTGTGGAAAACTTAAAAGTTATGGGAGCAATGAGTATCAAAATGGGTCAAAACCCGCCATATAGTGAGTCGGGTTAGACCATAAATAATCGCAAAAAAAAAAAAAAAAAAAAAAAAAAAAAAAAAAAAAGAAGTGAACTTGACGGCCTTGGCTAGCAGAGGACCATGTATTATTTTAGGCAGTTATTATGTCAACCAGTATATTATACCCCATAATACATTATATTATATTATATTAATATATATAATAATAATGCTAGGGCAAATACCAATTTTGGTCCCACGAGTATTAGCAAAATGACAGTTTTGGTCTCCATATTTAATTCCTACCAATTTTTATCCATGACTATTGTTTAGTACCAATTTTCATCCACAAATATTGTTTTAGTGCCAAAATTCATCACGTTGGTCACCACTTCGTTTAAGACTTGTCGAAATATAAAATTATTAAGGATAGTTTCGTGCTTTTCAAATTAGGATCCCTATTTGAGCATGAATAAAAGAAGTTAAGCCCTAAGATCTATTTCAATTCGTAGTTTTCCTCCTCAAATTAAGGTAGGATGAGAAGGAGAACTGCAAATTGGGATCGATCTTAAGGTTTAAATTCATTTATTTATGCTCAAATTGGAATCTTAAGTTGAAAATTATAAAAATGCCCTTAAAATTTTTAAATTTCAGGATGACTTAAACAAATGGGTGACCGACGTGATGAATTTTGGTACTAAAATAATAGTCATGGATTAAAATTGGTACTAAAACAATTGCCGTCGATGAAAATTGGTAGGAATTAAACATGTGGACCAAAACTGTCATTTTGCTAATACTCGTGGGACCAAAATTGGTATTTGGGGCAAATACCAATTTTGGTCCCACGAGTATTAGCAAAATGATAGTTTTGGTCTCCATATTTAATTCCTACCAATTTTCATCCACGACTATTGTTTTAGTACCAATTTTCATCCACAACTATTGTTTTAGTGCCAAAATTCATCACGTTGGTCACCCCTTCGTTTAAGACATGCCGAAATATGAAATTAAGGGTAGTTTCGTGCTTTTCAAATTAGGATCCCTATTTGAGCATGAATAAAAGAACTTAAGCCCTAAGATCTATATCAATTCGTAGTTTTCCTCCTCAAATTAAGGTAGGATGAGAAGGAGAACTGCAAATTGGGATCGATCTTAGGGTTTAAATTCATTTATTTATGCTCAAATTAGAATCTTAAGTTGAAAAAGATGAAAATGCTCTTAAAATTTTTAAATTTCAGGATGACTTAAACAAATGGGTGACCGACATGATGAATTTTAGTACTAAAATAATAGTCATGGATTAAAATTGGTACTAAAACAATAGTCGTGGATGAAAATTGGTAGGAATTAAACATGTGGACCAAAACCGTCATTTTGCTAATACTCGTGGGACCAAAATTGGTATTTGCTCTATAATTTAATATATTATAGAGGATAATGAATGAATAAAAATTGATTCTTAAATTATACCCACTTAAGTTGAAAAAAATGATTATTAGCATATGCTCTATGAAGAGTCACACCTACACTTAGTAGAAAACTTAATCCAAAGAACAAATAAGGGCAAATACTAATTTTGGTCCTACGAGTATTAGCAAAATGACAGTTTTAGTCTTCATATTTAATTTCTACCAATTTTTATCCACGATTATTGTTTTAGTACCAATTTTCATCCATAACTATTGTTTTAGTGCTAAAATTCATCACGCTGGTCACCCCTTCGTTCAAGACATGCCGAAATATGAAATTATTAAGGTTAGTTTCGTGCTTTTCAAATTAGGATCCCTATTTGAGCATGAATAAAAGAACTTAAGCTCTAAGATCTATTTCAATTCATAATTTTCCTCTTCAAATTAAGGTAGGATGAGAAAGAGAACTGCAAATTGAGATCGATCTTAGGGTTTAAATTCATTTATTTATGCTCAAATTGGAATCTTAAGTTAAAAAAGATGAAAATGCCCTTAAAATTTTTAAATTTCAGGATGACTTAAACAAATGGGTGACCGACATGATGAATTTTGGTACTAAAATAATAGTCATGGATTAAAATTGGTATTAAAACAATAGTTGTGGATGAAAATTGGTAGGAATTAAACATGTGGACCAAAACTGTCATTTTGCTAATACTCGTAGGACCAAAATTGGTATTTACTCTATAATTTAATATATTATAGAGGATAATGAATGAATAAAAATTGATTCTTAAATTATACCCACTTAAGTTAAAAAAAAAAAAAAAAAAAAAGATTGTTAGCATATGCTCCATGAAGAGTCACACCTACACCTAGTAGAAAACTTAATCCAAAGAACAAATAGCACAAATACGCACTATCAAATAGACGGCAACTTCTCCTTGTCACCCAAAAAAATAGTGCCAAGTTTTTCATTAGCAAAATCATTTTTTGTACGGTCAAAATTCTTTATAAGGTAGTATATGTATTTTCTCAATTCAAAAAATTAAATATATCACACAATCTAAGTTTGATCCTGTAACTATCTATATTTGGTATGGTAACAAAAGTGTATCACACTACATAATCGTCAGTAGCAAAACCATTTTTAATTAGATGTTTTAAACAAACATCATTTTGTCTTCTTTTTTTTTTTTTCTGAAAATTCATTTTGTCTTTATTTGCACTCATTTTTATCATTGTCAATGTTTTCAACCAATTAAACATGAAAAGCTAAGACAGCAAGACGTGTGCATATTTAATTACTCCGTAGCTATATATTAGTATCAACTCTACTCATTAATTCGTACAAATAATGTTCCTCATTGCACCATCTCTTCTGTCAATCCTTGCCGGAATCCTCCTGTGGTTCATCGCCCGGAGATGGACTCCGGCGTCGTCAAAAAGCCGCAAGAAACTTCCACCTGGGCCGCGCGGCCTTCCCATCATCGGAAACCTCCACATGCTAGGCCACACCCCCCACCGTGCCTTAAACGACCTATCCAAAAAGTACGGTCCCATCATGTTCTTAAAACTAGGCAGCGTACCCACGGTGGTGATCTCTTCGCCCTCCGCCGCCGAGCTCGTCCTTAAAACTCACGACAACGTTTTCTCCGACCGGCCGAGGCTCGACGCCGTGGAACATATCACGAATAGTTATAAGGGGATGCTCTTCTCGCCGCCTTATTCTCCCGATTGGCGAAAAACCAAGAAGTTCTCAATCCAACAACTCCTTAACGCCGCGAAGATTGAGTCTTTTGCCGGCGTTAGGAGAGAGGAAGTTGGGGCTTTATTAGCGTCGATAAAGACGGCGGCCGCCGGCGGGGAGGTGGTGGATCTTAGTGAAATGGTGGGGGAGTTGATAGAGAACGTGACTTATAAAATGCTTTTTGGGTTTAGGAACGAGAAGAAGTATGGGTTGAAGCGCATTGTTCACGAGGTTACGGCATTGATGGGAGCCTTCAATATTGCGGAATATGTGCCCTTTGTTAAGCCATTTGATCTTCAGGTAAATAACATTCACATTTTTGCTTTGGTTTCATGTTTACCTCAAATCATATAAGTAGTTAAGTCACTGGTTCAGTAGGTCGTATTTAAAATAAGATACTAAGGTTTAAACTTGAACAGCAACAATGTGAGAATTATATTATATCTAAAGTTAACAGATTTCTTGTGCGCAGTAGCATTTGGTCATATTTGTTGAGTCATTGAGACACATCCCTTGTACACACCGACATTTAATCATGTCTACTCAGTCATTTAATCATGATTTACAACCTCCTAAATATTTTTTCAGACCCTTGGGGTTAGAGATTAAACATTTTGGTAGAAGTTTTAGTACATATATTTATAAAAGGTAAAATAACACTTTTCCTCCTAAATTATATACTTATACCAATGCTTTTTCCTACTATTCATTTATCCACATTAATCCCTTAATTATTCTAAAAGTGAGGGTTTTTTCCCTTGATATGCTAAATAGACATCTTTACTCTTAAAATTTTTCTTTTTTAATAAATTATTGCTTATATGTAAGGATGACCAAGATTTGGTTCAAACCGAACCAGACACTATTGCAATCAAATCAAAAGGTTTCGGTTACAATTTAGAACCAGAACCCAGTATTTGAGTTTCAGTTTATTAAAATCGCGAACTGAAAATTTACATTAATTTTTGAATTAAAATATTTAAAAATAAAAGTATAATTAAAAAGAAGTTTGACCCTGCCAACAGTTCAAACTTGATCCAGAGCTGTGAATCAGCAATTCAAAATCAGAACCGAATCGCAACCATATCTATTTATATTTGAGACTCAGAATAAATACGAAAAAAGAATATACTCAATTTGCAAGTATTATCATTCTAATTTTAAGATAATGCTAGTAATTGTTTTGATTTAGAATTGCCCGTTCACGGTTCAGGATTTTGTTTTTCCGGTTGCGAATTTAATAAATGAAACCCAAATATTGGGTTCCAGTTTTGAATCATAACCGAAACTTTTCAATTTGGTTGCTATAGTGTCCGGTTCAGTTCGAACTTAACCATGATCATCACTATATATAAGCAATAATTTGTTTAAGAAGAAAAATAAATGAAATATTTATTTTAAAGATCAAAATGTCTATTTAATATATCTAGGAGAAAACTATTGTTTTTAAAATAATTGAAAGGGCTAATGTGAATATATAAGTAATTTAAGAAAAAAAATGTTATAAGCAAATAATTTTGGAGAAAAAATGCGCTTTTCCCCTTTATAAAATAAGCACGTTTATTGTATTCAGTTAATTCAATACCTTCGTATGTGTCTTTACTCTGTTATTCTAATATGTTTTTTTTTTTTTTTTGCTTCACATTTTTGTTAACTTATTTCACTGCTCTGTGATATTTAATTTTCTTTTTTGCACTTAGGGATTGGGATACTCTTCTTCCCATTGGGATATTCTTCTTACCTCAATATCTCCTCTCATATTATTTTTCCAAAAGGTTAAATCCCCAACCTCAAAAATCCCTTCTTCCAAACTTCAAAAATCCCTACATCTAGGGATGACCACGGTTCGATTTGAACTAAAAGGTTCAAACCAAACTGTGCACTGTGCTAATTGAACCGAAACTTGAATCATCCGTACAGTTTCGATTCCGATTCCTAATATTGATTCCGGTTAAAGTTTGTAATATTCTAGAACCGGCACCACCGATTCCGATTCCGAACCAGAGGGTTCCGGTTCCGGAACCCAAAAAAAATATGTATGTTTGAAGTTGAAAAGCCAAAGCCGCAAAAGCCTGCGGCTTTGGCTTTTCAAAACAATTTTAGACCAGCAGGCCACTGGGGCCTACTGGCCAATAGCAAATAGCATGGCCATATTGGCCAAAAACTAAAAAACATAGTTTTCTTTTTATATATAAAATCTGGTTAGAGCCGGAGTTGCAACCTTTATATAATGTTTCGGTTTCGATTCGTTCATTTTCAGAATTGGAATCGGAACTGTGGTTACCATTACTTATATCTAGATCTGATAGAACATGTAAGTTATGGTAATTTAGTGGTTCAGCAGGCAAGGTCAATGTTAATGCGCATAAAGGATCTATCTACTTTGGACATAATTCTCACACTCTCACTGCCGAATTTCAAACCTTAATCTCATCTCCAAATACTATTTACTGAACCAATAAACTAAACTCATGTGGCATCTCCCCTCATATTCTTGTACCTATTGCCCTATTGGTAGTCGACGTTATTAAAGAAAAAAAAAGAAAGTTAAGCATAGGCTAACATTATCCCGGTAAATCTCTCCCACCTTCAAAAATGGCTCCCACCTTCATATCATCTCATTTACAAATTATTTACTATTCATACTACATCCCTACAAATCCAATCAACTTTCAAAAGTAACCCCAATTTTACATCACTTTAAAAAATTAATATTTTTTTCTCAATAAATATTATTTTCTCTTCACAATTATTAATTTATATCAATATATAAATTATATTTAAATATTAAAATAACAAAAATGAAAATCTAAAACAATTTTTTTAAAAAATTTTAAATCTAAAACGTTAAATGTAATTTTAATTTACGTATATCAATCTTTCAAAAAAATATACGTATATCAACTTAATTTTTAGACACCTTAATTTTAATTTTATTTATTTCTAAAAAATAATTTAAGAAATTATTCGTATTATGTATAGTATATAACCGAGTACAAATTATACCACGATTTGAATTGTAAAACTAAACCTCATACTTTGAACAAATCTCTTCATACAGATTATGCAATTAGATACATCAACTATGAATGAAACGCAAAAACAATTGTACGATGAACAAATGAAATCTTTTTTAGATGAGTAAATATGATGAAATTAATTTGTATGCATTGTATTTCTTGCAGTGGTTAGCATGGATCTTCCTGGTCTCTTAGATTTAGTAATTAAGGATTGTATTTCTAAATCAATGACATGTTATGTACTCTTTTAATATATTATTTTATTAAAAAATTTATTACATATTAAATAAAGAATAAAAAAAAAAAACAAACAAACTTTACGCCAAAATACAAAATAAACTAAACAAATAAAATAAAATAAGAAAAGAAACAAAATAAACTAAATAAACAAACAATTTATATATATATATATATATATATATATATATATATATATATATATATACAAAGGTCACGACAGCTTTTGTATGGATGCCAATTTGCATAGAATGCAAATGGACAATCCTAGTCAGATGACATGTAGTGATATTTCCCATATGAGAGGTTATGAGATTGAGCCTTAGTGGAGGCGTTGTTGACT